CCTCCCTGGCCTCCTGTGTGTTGCCCTGCTTGAGCAGAATATTCCCTCTCTGCAACCGGGCCTGAAAATTTAAGGAGATGAAGAAATGGGATGATAGTAGAAGGTGTAGGAGGGAAAAAAAGAGACAGAATACTGTCAAGACTGTCAGATCTTTTGGGCTGAGATGAGCAGATGAACTTACAGCCAAGAAGTCAGGCTTGAGTTGGATGGCTCTGGTCAGATCTGGCAGAGCAGATTTAGATTTTCCCATTGCCAGAAACACGGCAGCTCGCTTGTAGTAGGTAAGATAATTCTTAGAGTCTCCCTCTGGAAAATGTCAACCAGACAAAATTTCTATTTCATCAATGTGTCAAACATAAACTTCTAAACTAATAACATTCGTACAAAACATGTCTGTAAAAGCAGAATTTTGCAGTGAATATGAGAGAAAACAAGCATTATCAGAGCACAGGCACAGTCTGAAAATGTCAGCCAGTGGCGAGAACATAAATGTGTGTCAGTGAGTGTGTCTGCATGTCAGTGTGTGTAACCTTACCCACAGCAGAGTGGTAGTGGGACAAGGCCTCAGCCAGCTGACCGGCTGCCAGAAGTTTGCGGCCCATCTCCAAGTGGTGCTCAATCTCAACATGAGTTGCCCCTAAGACACCTGTAACACAAATCTGTGCTTGAGCCTCGCTGGAAATACACTGCTGACAAAGGTTAGGCTACAAAACTAGAGCAGCAGACCATGATGTAGCTAAATTTATTAGGTCTTACAGGCTTTTTTTTTTAAGATTTACACTTTTTTTCACACCACAGTCTGGCAATATTTAAATTACAAAGCATGAGCTGCACCTACAAAGCCATCATTTACCACAAAACACAAATCAATCTGATGCCAAGCCATTATTGGAAACATAGCAGATGAGTAACAATGACTACTTGAACCAATACTGATTTTTTATACAATCTGAGTATCAGTGTGATAAAACAGTTTGATTTGATATTTTATTTGCTTGATGAGCAAATATTTTTATGAGTTTCTCAACCTATTTTCCATAAGATGTCCAAAATAACTAAAGATAAATATTGCTGTATAAAATGACATACTCTGTTATAAGAGGTTTAATCTGGAGCTGAACTGTTTAGTCTTCTAACCCCAGACTTTTCTTTGATTTATTGTCATTATAATTTAAAACAACAAATTTGACGATGTTCTCTCAGGCTGGAGCTGCAACTAAAAACTATTTTCATTGTCAAATACTTTCTTAACGAATCGATTTGATGTTGGCTCTAAAAAATGCCCAAAAATTGTGTTTCTCAAAGGCCAAGGTGAAGCCTTCAAATGCCTTGTTTTGTCAAAAAAACCCCAAAGATATTCAGTTTACTGTCATAGAGGAGTAAAGATCCCAGAAAATATTTACATTTAAAAAGTTGGAATCAGAGAATTTTTCCTTTTTTAAAAACGACTCAAACTGATCAATCGATTATAAGTAGTTGCAGATTTGCTTGACAGAGAGCAACTAATCGATCGATCTAACTTTGCAGCTTTAATGTGATGAGTATTTCTTTTTTTCTGGCCTCTTTCGACCCAAATTTAAAGATCCACTCCTAATATTATTATAGTACTTTCTCTAATCGTAGCAGCTGATTCTGATGTTTGTTTGTGGTTAGACTGGTTTTCTTTACACAGCTAATGTAGGTGGTGTGGCTTCCTGATGACAGGAAGAGAGGTTCTGTAAAGTCTTTTAATTTGTTGTTTGGTTTATATAAGACCAAGATGAGGTCCTCAAACGTCTTGGTTTGTCTACAACCCAAAGTTATTCAGTTTGCTCCTATAAATGAATAGAAGTCGTCGATCAAGTGGGTATTGGCCAGGCTGATTATCAGATCCAACACTCAGCATTTTTCTGAATCTTGACATTGTTATTTTTGAACTGATTCCCAATAAAATAAAGTCATTTTACTGAGTAATATCCCACTGTGGCGCTGATGCAGGTTCTTCTGTCTGTAGTCGCTACTTTCTAGTCTCGAGCAATAACAGGCAATTGTTGATAAGTTTTATTTAAATAAATCATGCATAAAACACATAAATAAAGGCATTAAAACAAACAAAAAAAACACAAGTTTATTGTTGGCGTTGGTTTTATTAAAAATTTTGACATTAAGATTTTCATTCTAGCTGTAGATGTAGATCAGTTCTACTTGATTAGCCCGAAAAAGACCGAAAAGAACCTGATCTCTAAAAGAAACCAGAAAATATTCAAATCTAAGAAGCAGGAAACAGAGAGTTTTGACTTGTCTTTCTTAAATAATTGCTCAACTCAACTAACTGGTTATGATTTCTTTCTTTCTTTCCTTGGTTCAGCCCTGACTGAACGCTTATCATCCACTCCTACTGTCACTATGTTTGTTTTTAGCTGACAGTGATATTTTAGGGCAGGAGGTGCGGGCTCCTGGTGACAGCTAAGTCCTCGCTACGTCTCTGTGTAAACACATACTGCTTTTTAACATCATGCTAAAAGGCTTTAATTAACTTTAACACGCGCTATTGTTTTCATATCAGAATAAGAACTGCTCTGGTGCTTTTTATTTGGAGTCTGACAGCGGCCGGATGTAATGTCACCTCTGTAAGCTAACACTCCGTGACAGTTTGGGAAACTTTCAGCGGCTAGACCGTCAAAAGAAGCCGGAAACGCCCAGAAACGTGTGTCCTTGTGTGTGAGAAAGCCGGTAAAGGCTTGTTTTTTAGCATAAAGTCGGTCTTACCGTCCAGCTGGATGTCCAGGATGACACAGAGCAGAGACAGGGAGCACAGAACCCCGCTGAGTCCTGTCCGCCGACACGACTCCATTTCCCGATTTAATCACACTTTGACACCGGAACCAGCGAACTTAGCGTCTCTGAGTCCACGTCGACTGGAAATGGTTGCTTGTTTCATTGAAATTGTAATAATACTGACGAAATCTTCATCGTTTTCTCCCCGCAGAAACAGCTACGACAGTATATTTACGGTCCCGGTAGGACAGTAATCCGTGTGGAAATAGTTCCCGTCGCTGAAAGGTTCCCACCCGAACAAATTAACAGTTGCACGTGGATGTCCGGACGAAAGCGACGACAATTGGATTTTAGTGAAAGTTAAAACAACTTCTCGTTACTTGATAGTGAAGAAGTCAAACAGCTGACGGTGTGTGTACTTTGCAAATGAACCCGTTGTGCCTGCTGTGGAGTCTCCTCCCCAGCTGCCCTACATTTCCGTGGTTGGTCCACACGGCGCACATCCGTGTTCGTCCAGAAACGTGGGCCGCTCTCATTGGACGGACTGTTTTAACTCTGACGGCCTCCCAGAATGTCCCTGCGAGCCGAGCGCCGCAACCAAGCGTCTGGACAGGACACGAAATTTAGAGACAACTCCTTACAGCGGGTTGTACAATGTAAATACTATGAATACAGTTAATCCGAAATGAAAAAATAAAATAAAACAAAAAATGTACCTCATTTTTTAGTAGGGACCTTATAAATAATCTGCTCTGTACAGTTTTAAACTAATAAACTTTAAAAATCCTGGAAATATTTGACATCAAATGCATTGTTGGTATTGGTTTAAATTTTATTTATTTATGTTATTTGCCTTGTATGTAACGTGGTGCTTACGGTTCCAAAAAATGTATATTTTATTTTGTTTTATTTTATTTTATTTTATTTTATTTTATTTCATTTTATTTTCCATCCATCCATTATCTATACACCGCTTAATCCTCATTAGGGTCGCAGGGCTGGAGTCTATCCCAGCCAATTTAGGGCGAAGGCTTATTTTATTTTATTTTAATTGATTTTATTTTATTTTATTTAAGTGGCTACCTTGTTAATAATCTGCTCTATGTCTTTTAAATTAATAAACATGAAAAATCCTGGAAATATTTGATATCTAGTGCAAATATAGATATTATTGGTATTGGTATGAATGGTGTTTATTTATATTATTTGCCTTGTATGTTAGGTGATACTTACAGTTCTGAAAATGTATTTATTTATTTATTTTTTATTTTATTTGTATTTTTTTTCATTCATTTATTTATTTAAGTAGGGACCTTGTAAATGATCTGTTCTATATGTGTTTTAAATTAATTACCATTAAAAAAAATAAATCCTGGAAATATTTGACCTCTCGTGCAAATATGGATAAACACAGATGTATTTATTTGTTTAGCTTTGTATATGTACTGAATATACCACAATACTTGTAAATTTTTCTTAACCATTCATCCAGGTGAACCCACTATTATTTGAATAGAAAAACAAAAGAGACTTTAAATCACTACTAAATCATTAAAGGTGACTGAACACTGTTCTTCCTCTTTATATTTCCTGCTGGTGGTAGAGAATGCTGTCATCGTGGATGAGGCAACTCTCATCAGGATGGAGATGTTTGTTTGTTGTTTTAACCACATCTCTGTAGACCAGGGCCTGTGCCTGCTGCGCTACTGAACTCTCCAATGTGCATTTAACTCTGAAATGAAAGGTTTATGCACTGCACTATATTTTCTCTCTTTTTGTAACTGTGTGTAACTGATCTTGCTTACAGTCTGATCATAACGTGCATCCTCTCGGTCACCTGCTCCTCTGCATTCCTTTTGTGCTTTCAACCACAATTCCTGGCCCTATTTACTGTCATTCCACCAGATCTAAATACAGATGTCACTTCATTCAGTTTCCACTTGAGGCCAGCTGAGCAGCCTTTCTGCCATCTGTGCCCCAACAATAAACCCTCTTTCAAAGTCACTTAGATCATTTCCTCTTGTCATCTTGATACAAAACCAGAATCATCCAGGCCTGCTCAACATGTTTATACATTTCACATGTCTCTTCTCACTGGCTTGGCTTTTTCCTTTAATTTGTCACCTGTCTGTGTTTGTTTTATGCATATAAAAAGACAAAATCCTCCGTTTGTAGCAAATTTAAATCTTATAAATTTGTGATTTAGATTTGTAGTCACTATAATATCATAATAAGCCTTGCTATTGTTTGTAAAAAATACTTTTATTCTTTTTTTAAAAAGAGTACAATCACAACTTTTTTTGGCCACAGGTTGCAAAGTTATAAACATTTGGCATAAAACGCTTCATTGTGTGCAATCGTAAAAAACAAAAAAGGACAAAACACCATGAAAACAAAGATAACCCGTCCTCCACCCTCGCTAACAGATACTACCTACAAAACTGTACAAAACAAAACAAATGTCTGTGTCTGCTTTCATGCAGGTCATTAAACGATTGAACATCATTAAGGTGAGTGACTGTAAATGGAATGGAGCAAACAGTGTCAGTGAAATATAAATAGAATCATTGAAAGCCTTCTGTATGTCTGTGCAGTGATGAGTCGTGTCGCTTTGTACAAATTTTACAACATTAACGCTGTCATCTCAATGCTGTTATTTTACATAGTTGATATTGTGGCTATGTACAGTGCAGTGGTGCTAAGTTTCATCCATCTGTGAACATCTGACGCACCGTTTGTGCTTCCACAGTCACCCAAAGTGTTATAAAGCTGAGGTGATGAAAAAGTTCACAAAGTTCAGTCTCCAGATCTTGCTCAAACGTAAGCATTTCGTCCATAAGTACTGGCTACCACGCTTCTGGTGGGTGCAACTCCGGAGTAGACGGTTCCTCTGGTCTGATAGGGCAAAGGGCTGCAAAACAAGATGCAAACAAACATGTCAGCCTCACACATTAATAAAGACGAATAACATCAACAGCCTCAAAGACATTTAATTGGTCTTTTGCAAACCACCCATCCATTATCTACACACTGCTTAATCTTCACTAGGGTCGCAGGGGGGCTGGAGCCTATCCCAGCCGACTTAGGGTGAAGGCAGGGGACACCCTGGACAGATCACCAGTCCATCACAGGGCCACACTTAGAGACAGACAACCAAGCACACTCACATTCACACCTACAGACAATTTAGAATCATCAATTAACCTCAGCATGTTTTTGGACTTGTGGGAGGAAGCCAGAGAACCCGGAGAGAACCCACACTGCACGGGGAGAACATGCAAACTCCACGTAGAAAGATTCCGGTGCCCCCACCGGGACGCAAACCGGCAACCTTCTTGCTGCGAGGGAACAGTGCTACCAACTGCGCCACCTTGCAGCCCTCCTTTGCAAACCATTTATCTCCAATTTACAGCAGTGCCTCTTTTTCCAACCACTAGGGGGCGCCAAACTCTAAAATGTTTAAAATCCTGCTACACAGTGGCTTCAGCTGCTGTAGTCAGGCCTTTCACACCCACCACTGGTCATGTTCACTGTTGTACACAGCCTGCTTTAAAGGGATCAATTACAATCCATTACACACCCTTTTAAGGCATATTCTGCCTCATCATATAACTTTAGTAGTTAATTTGGTTACAATTTCATTATTAATTCTTGTATTTTTGCACCGTATAAACAATTTTATCTATTTTTCTATTCTGTTTATTGCCTATATGCACATATTTACATAGACAAACACATTTTGCATATTGTTCAGCTTTAGAATCTGCTGTTACATTGTGTTAAATTTGAAACGGTTGAAGCAGATCACACGCAGGAAATAAATGTAACGAATTGATTGTTGAAATTAATCAACCTGGAAAACGCCTAAGTCAGATTGTAAGTGCAGATTGTAGGGCTGAACGACAAGCAAAAATTTAAAAAAACAAAAAATCTAATTGTGATTAATTTGACAGATATTGAGTCACAATGTTAGAATTTTTACATTTCTTTTGCACCCACAGTGACGTATATTTTTTGCTGCAAACGAGCAGGTTCTTGTCTGTAGAATATGATTTGTGGCTTCTTTTTTAACACCACAGTGTTTCATTCACAGTTGTATCTTGTGGACACACTTTAGTGAACTCACAATTTTTCCTGTGAGCCCAGTTTGCAGGAGCAGGTGAGACAGACTCCTCCGGCGATGGCGAGCACAGAAGAGCACCAGCCGATGTAAAGCCCTTCTCCTATTTCATACCTGCGAGACGGAGAAGAGGTTAAATCAGCCAACGGTGCATTTTAGGCCCGTTTATCTCACATCACCACCGCTAGCAGCACCTCACCTTATCCCAGGATAGAACGGGTCGAAGAAATCCTGAGTGATATTGAAGGCGTACCACGACACTGAGACCAGAGTACACAAACCTTTGGACAGAAAAAGAAGCGTTTTTTTTTAATTACTGAGAAAGCCGTGCCAGCCAGAGAGTTACACACAGGTCCAAAGTCTTGAAGGAAACAAGGAGAAAATTTATGAAGGACTGATTTGAATGTGCAATAAAGCATGACCATGAATTATTACCCTGTTGGAGAACTTTGTGTATCTACAGTATTTATGGGATGGTGTAGGAGGTCAGAAGTTTCCTTGCTGATTTACTCTCCTCTAAAGTACACATCCTGACATTTTTAAAATACATTTTATTTGTGGTTCTTACCTTGAAGTATAAAAAACACTCCAGCGGTGCCGGCAATCCTCCCTTTGAGAACATAGTTTTCTCCTCCTGCTTTCGAGCACTGTATTCCTACGAGGGCCGCCACCAGTCCAAAGGTGCCAAACACTACTGATGTGATCATCAAGGCACGAGACGCCTGGACGTAACCTGGAGAGAGTTTAGGAATAGACACAGACAGAATTAGACACATTTAATTCTCATGTTTTAATGATAATACGACCTCACTTTGAAGATTTGATGATCGCTTGCAATTATGTTTTGCAATGAGCTTTGAAAACACAACAAAGGAAAATTCAAATTGTCCTTTAACCTTTGATTCTCGTCACATTTTCTCCAAACAAAGCAACATAAATACTGTGAGATAAAGTGATATTGATGATATGTTGCAGATCAAATTTGAGAAAAAGTGTAATTAAATCGATTTTCTATCAACATACCACTCAACGCGAGCAGCGATGGGAACTCTCTGCAGTTATGAACCCCAGTTGAATCCGTCGCACAGGACATCCACAGGTTTTCATAGATGGTGGAGGTGGTGATAACGTTCCCGTCGACGGTGGACGTCCTCCAGTAACGGTTCGGCAGAGCGACCCCCACCATCACCCAAGCACCGAACCCCAAAACCAAAGCCACAACTTCCACGATCGGATCCATGACCCCTCCTCAGGCCCGTCAGTCAGCCAAAAGTATATCCAGTTTTCAAATCGATGAAACTTGTTGTGAAAGTCAGAACATCTGAGAGAAAGTGTGTGTTGTCTGGTCTGCAACCGTGAGATGTGTGAAGTTCAACAGATATGTATAATGATTTATATGTCTGGCTGTTTCTCCTCCCCCTGCCCACACACACACACACACACACACACACACACACACACACACACACACACACACACAC